GATCCATTTTGGCATTATGAACAATGCCATAGAAACAATTAACAATTTCCGAGTGTAAGAATGTAAACTGAAAGTTTACATGAAAGAAAAGTTTTCTCGCAATTATGATTATGCAAGCCAACGTAAAGGTTGAACTATTCTAGCTCTTGTTTAAATTTATCCCACCATTGACATCTGTTGTCTTTTGAGGCATTGCAACAATAAAACAGATTTGAGTTCCTGAGCTCCTGCATTGAGCAGCTGAGCTCAAACCTTGATCTCCCTCTGAGTATGTGACACACAGGGCTTTGCTCATATTTTATGCCTTCTAAATAAACTCAACAGATGTCTCCCTTCAAGGTAGGTGCTTGATAACTAACTCTGTCGGTTTCTCTTTAATGTTGTCATTCATCGTAGATAAATGAAAGGGGCTGGCTGGCTGTTTGAAATATGAAAGGAAAAATACTGGCTAACTAATCATTCCATCAGTTTGTTTTTATCAGATTTGACCAGTGGAGCTCAGAGATAAACAAACTCTATGGAGAAAAATTATTCTGCTCTGTTTGAAGCTCTGCATACAGGCAAGCAGGGGGTTTTAAGTAATATTTGACATGAATCATATATTAATACCCTCACATTCTTGCTTACAAAACTACTGTAGAATTTTGTTCATGCAAGCTACTGATTTGTTGGTGTCTAAGTCATAAAATTGGTAATCAAACTTCATCTTATCTCAGTTTATTATGCAGGGACAATTATAATTAAGCCATTAGTTGAATGAGCATCTCATTAGTATCTCATTAGCATATTTTTATCCTATCGGTTTGCACCCAACCAATAGTTAAATATAGACCTTCATGCTTTTTTTTTTCCTAGATATTTTATATTTTCATACAAATTCATATACAATCATCACATTGTAACATACAACATTTATTTTTTTCTTTCTTTCTTTCTTTCTTTCTTTCCTTAATATAGCATTTTTAATTTATATTTTCAATATTATTTAGCTTTTTGTTTTGTGCAGTATTCATACTGACTAGCTTTACTTATTGCAGAAATTGTGCAATTTATTATTATTATTTTTATTAGTAGTATTATTATTCATAAAAATACATCACAATAAACATTAAGGTCTTTTGAAGTTGGCTTTAAGTAAGCAAACTAAACTTGAAAAAATAATAATTTGAAAATTCACACACAAACACACACCCACCAAGTTTGTATATATTTCCTATGTTAACTGATGTCGAGATTAAAAAAAATATAGACAGACAGACAGATAGACAGATAGATAGATAGATAGATAGATAGATAGATAGATAGATAGATAGATAGATGGATAAAGTAAAAAAAAAAATACTATGTACATTTTTGGGGCCTTATTAAGATAAATTGTAGTATCCAGTTCCTATAAACCCTGTTCAAATGTTTCAGTCTGAGCAGGAAGCTGATGTCTCTGAATCAGTCTTGAAGGGTCAGAGCACAGCAGGGGTCTCATAATTGTGGGTTGGAAAAAAAATGTCATCTGTCTCTTCAGAATCGTTGCTGTACCTGCCAACCGAGTCCCTGCTTGAGCCTCATCAACAGAACAGCTCAAGGCACACAGAAATGACTGCAGATTTATTAAAGGCTAATTCAACTGCACACTGAAAAAACACGGTGCTCACGGGCTAGCATTCCAGCAATCAAATCTTGGCTCTTTCAGAGAATCTGTCAGATTATTTTAAACAGACATTTCTCTGAATTGGTGCTTTCAAAATCTTGGTGATTTATTTATGACACTCTTACTATTTTATTTTTTAATCGATTTTTGACTGTCCATCATGTGATAAACCACTTCTTCATCCTTCTTCACAACCCACGGAAATATATTTGCCAGATGCATTTTTTTAAGCAGCAGTATAAATAGTATCAAATTTTTAATATGAATCAAACTAATAACTTTGTTTTTGCTAGCATAATACTCAATTCAGTCCAAATCTTGTTACCTTCTAAGACAGTGTTATCAGCACAGGTATGCCTACCTGCTAGGCATCACTGCCAGAAGCACCTCCGCCGGTGCCGTTGGAGCAGCTGAGGAGTCATCAGCCGGGAGCCACCCTTCACTGATGTTTCGCCCCTTTAATCCCGGAACATCTCAAGGTGGTGGAGCAGCGACAGGGACGTCTCCCTGCCTCCCCCCGCAGCTGGTCCTAGGATCCCTGTTTGCCCCATGTTCTGTCCCTTGAAAGGAGCCACAGCCAAAAACTCCCTCTTTCTGCCTCCTCTGCCAGATTTTTGAGTGCTCTCTTTTGTTCACGGAGATAGATAGATAGATAGATAGATAGATAGATAGATAGATAGATGGATAAAGTAAAAAAAAAAATACTATGTACATTTTTGGGGCCTTATTAAGATAAATTGTAGTATCCAGTTCCTATAAACCCTGTTCAAATGTTTCAGTCTGAGCAGGAAGCTGATGTCTCTGAATCAGTCTTGAAGGGTCAGAGCACAGCAGGGGTCTCATAATTGTGGGTTGGAAAAAAAATGTCATCTGTCTCTTCAGAATCGTTGCTGTACCTGCCAACCGAGTCCCTGCTTGAGCCTCATCAACAGAACAGCTCCAGGCACACAGAAATGACTGCAGATTTATTAAAGGCTAATTCAACTGCACACTGAAAAAACACGGTGCTCACGGGCTAGCATTCCAGCAATCAAATCTTGGCTCTTTCAGAGAATCTGTCAGATTATTTTAAACAGACATTTCTCTGAATTGGTGCTTTCAAAATCTTGGTGATTTATTTATGACACTCTTACTATTTTATTTTTTAATCGATTTTTGACTGTCCATCATGTGATAAACCACTTCTTCATCCTTCTTCACAACCCACGGAAATATATTTGCCAGATGCATTTTTTTAAGCAGCAGTATAAATAGTATCAAATTTTTAATATGAATCAAACTAATAACTTTGTTTTTGCTAGCATAATACTCAATTCAGTCCAAATCTTGTTACCTTCTAAGACAGTGTTATCAGCACAGGTATGCCTACCTGCTAGGCATCACTGCCAGAAGCACCTCCGCCGGTGCCGTTGGAGCAGCTGAGGAGTCATCAGCCGGGAGCCACCCTTCACTGATGTTTCGCCCCTTTAATCCCGGAACATCTCAAGGTGGTGGAGCAGCGACAGGGACGTCTCCCTGCCTCCCCCCGCAGCTGGTCCTAGGATCCCTGTTTGCCCCATGTTCTGTCCCTTGAAAGGAGCCACAGCCAAAAACTCCCTCTTTCTGCCTCCTCTGCAAGATTTTTGAGTGCTCTCTTTTGTTCACGGCCGGTGGTGCCCATAGACTTCAAGAGCCGCTGGGTAGATTCTCCGATGTAGCCTCTGCAGCCGATTTCTACTGGGAAGGTAAGAGCCCTCCACCCGACTTGGGTGCACGCAGCAGCCAGCTCCATGTATCTCTCCTTTTTCCGCTCAAAGGCTGCCTCCAGCCCCTCCTCCCATGGGACGGCCAATTCGACCATGATGACTGTTTTTGAAAGGGTGGACCAGAGGACAATGTCAGGCCGTAAAGAGGTTATGGTGATCTCAACCGGGAACCTCAACTGGCGGTCGAGATCAGCTGCCATGCTCCACTCTCCTCCCGGTGACAAGAGAGACCGCTCCTTCAGCCTGCCGCTTTGGCGTTAGGCTGATCTCAGCCGGGAACCTCATCTGGCGGTCGAGATCAGCTGCCATGCTCCACTCTCCTCCCGGTGACAAGAGAGACCGCTCCTTCAGCCTGCCGCTTTGGCTCTCTTCCCCTTGTCTGACAAAGTGGATCCGCTGGAATGGGCCCTGTTTGCTTCCAGTCTGCGCGTCTCCAGGACTTCCGCAAGCTTGCGCAAGACTTGGTCGGGGCGCCATCTGTAGTGGCCCTGGATCAGTGCTGCCTTGCACCCAGAAAGGATGTGCTGTAGACTTGGATTCTGGGAGGAGAAGAGATGACAGTTCTCTACCGATCCATACCACAATTGTAGGTTCTGTGGGCTGGGAAGCATATTGTACGTGGCCCTTATGAGAAAGCTAAGCCTTGCTTGGGGAATCTTCCACATATCAGCCCACGTGATGTTCCTATTGATCGCTTCCCAGGTTGTCCATCTGCCTTGCTGGTGTAGCCACACAGCTCTGACCTTGTAACACTCCCCCTCCATCTTTGACACTTCTGTGATCACCAGATCTTTCCTTTCCTTTGTGGATGCTTTGGACCACATTTTAGGTGCAGATCCCCATCCAAGCCATGTCCTTCCTGGCTGCGAGAACCCAACAATCTCCTGATGCTGTAGTCTGTTGTTGGCCTGTTCCACTGTCTGCGTCACGCTCCACTTGCGCCCTGTGCGGATCTGGGCTTTAGTGTTTCTCACAAGAAGGTCGGGTGAGTCTCTTAACTCAAAAAGCAGCCACACCTTCTCCTGCTTGTAGCCCAAACTGATGGCTTTTAGTGGGAGTTCGAAGATGTTTCTCCCAAACTGTACCACATTGGAAAGGCTGCGTGGGAGGCCAAGCCATTTCTTGATGTAGCTATTTGCCATCCTGTCCATTTTCAGGACGGTTGTTAAGGTAATGTCGCACAGCTTCAGAGGCCACATAAGACGCCTGTACAGAGTAAACTGGTAACACCAAACCTTGAATTTCCCTGGGAGGCAGCTTTGGTAGATCTTGTTCAGCCCATCTATGAGCTGGGATATCACAGTGTCAGCCATGTGCCTGTCAGATACATCAGCCGTGTAGAGTTTTCCTAGTCTTCAGACAGGTTGGTGCAAAAGAAGAGGAATTTTCTCACCGCTCACTGAGAAGCAGATATTATCATTCCTAGCTCCCTTGCGAATTGAAAGGCTTCAGGACTTAGCTGGCTTTATCCTCATCCGAGCCCATGCTAGCAGGTCCTCCAGCCTTCGGAGGAGTCTGGACGTGCATGCAGCTGTCTGGAGAAGGGTGGTGACATCGTCCATGTAACTTCTTATGGCTGGAAGCCTGTGGCCTGAGTGGGCCCTGACTCCTCAGACCATCTGCCTGCCACCGATCAAGATGATCTCGAATGCGGCAGTAAAAAGGATGGGGGAGATGGAACATCCCATCGCTATGCCCCTCTCCAGTGGGTACCAACCTGTCGAGATCTCTTGGGTTGTGTAGCAAACTTGGAAGGTGTTAAAGTACTTGGTCACTATGGTCTGAATGGGCAGTGGCACATATAAAAAATTTAGTGCAAAGGAGATTAGTTGGTGGGGAACTGACCCGTAGGCATTCTCAAGGTCCAACCAGACTACGTGCAGATCTGATCTATTCCTCTTGGCTGTCTGGATTTGGTCCCAGATCATAGCTGAGTGCTCCACGCAGCCAGGGAAGCCTGGGACTCCTGCCTTCTGGCAACTGGTATCAATGTGATTATTTGCCAAGAGGTAGCTGGTTAGGCGTTTTGCCAGAACTGAAAATAGTATCTTTCCCTCTACATTTAACAGGGCAATGCCTCTGAACTGGTTGATGCTGCTGGAGTCTTTTTCCTTTGGAATAAAGGTGGTAACTGCTTTGCTCCAATCTACAGGGATGGATTGCACTTTCCAGGCCATTCCCATCAGCTTCCACAAGTGCTTCAAGAGCAAAGGGCAATTCTTATATACCCGATAGGTTACGCCGTTCGGTCCGGGTGCTGATGCTGCTCTTGTTTGCTCCACGATCTTCTTGACCTCAGACCATTTGGGAGGAGAGGTGTCAAATTGCGAGGTGGGCTCAGGCAGCTGTGGTATATACCCTGGGGATCTTAGTGGGGATTCCTTCTGGCTATCGCTGATCTGGGATTTGATAAAAACCTCAAGCTCCTGCTGGGTAGTATGCAGCTTGCCAGATTTCTTCTCCTCCAGGAGGCCTCGGGCGAACTTGAAAGGGTCCCGAAGGAAACTCAACCTTGCTTTCTCCTTGCGGTTTCTGTGTTTTCTGATCCTCTCAGCACATCTCAAGTCTGCAAGTCTGGCCTGGATCTGATTCCACAGGTTCTTCAAGCCCTCCTTCTCTTTGTCTTCGGCTTTCTTCCATGCCTTCCGCAACAGGCGCCTCTCCTTTACTAACTGTAAGATTTCCCTCTCCCGTCTCCCAGTTCGTTTGGGAATAGACCTCCTCTGGGACAGTGCTCCGAACCTCTCGTTCGACCTTCATCATAGATGACATGTCCGAACATGTTTAACTTGGAAGCGGTACTGCCTTCTCGATGCGTCCTTGTCGCTGGCTTTTAGCCAGTTGACTTTGGGTCTGCGGGACAGCTCCTTAGATGTTACACTTGGGAGTGTGCAGGTGGCTATATGTTCATGATGCTGTTGCTGATGGCTGTCCATTGGTTGACCACCTGTTGTGGGGGCTGTTCTTTCTCACTTTCACCAGATACAAAGTTGGAATCAGCAGCACTGTGGTGCTCAACCTGGCTTTGATTCCTCCTTGTCTGACCTGCTGTTGCAGTGCAAGCTTGCACCTGGCTGCTCCAACCACAATTAGCCTTCCCTTGCTGAATGCGTAAACCATGATGGGTTGTCACCTTAGACCACCCGCACCAGCATTCTCTCAGGATCCGTTGATCATTAGTCATTGCCATGCCAGTCATAAATATGTTGTCTGTTCTGAATGGTCCATCTTCCATCCCGCCTCTTTAATCCCGGAACATCTCAGGGTGGTGGAGCAGCGACAGGGACGTCTCCCTGCCACCCCCCGCAGCTGGTCCTAGGATCCCTGATTGCCCCATGTTCTGTCCCTTCTAAGGAGCCACAGCCAAAAACTCCCTTTCTGCCTCCTCTGCCAGATTTTTGAGTGCTCTCTTTTGTTCACGGCCGGTGGTGCCCAGAGACTTCAAGAGCCGCTGGGTAGATGCTCCGATGTAGGCTCTGCAGCCAATTTCTACTGGGAAGGCAAGAGCACTCCACCCGGCTTGGGAGCACGCAGCAGCCAGCTCCATGTACCTCTCCTTTTTCCGCTCAAAGGCAGCCTCCAGCCCCTCCTCCCATGGGACGGTCAATTCGACCATGATGACTGCTTTTGAAAGGGTGGACCAGAGGACAATGTCAGGCTGTAAAGAGGTTATGTTGATCTCACCCGGGAACCTCAGCTGGCGGTCGAGATCAGCTGCCATGCTCCACTCTCCTCCCGGTGACAAGAGAGACCGCTCCTTCAGCCTGCCGCTTTGGCTCTCTTCCCCTTGTCTGACAAAGTGGATCCGCTGCTGAGATCTTACTGAATGGGCCCTGTTTGCATCCAGTCTGCGCGTCTCCAGGACTTCCGCAAGCTTGAGTAAGAGCATCCTAAATAAAATTAAATCTCGTAAGTGAATGATTTAAAACACTCTCCACTCCCTCTTTCTGCCTCCTCTGCCAGATTTTTGAGTGCTCTCTTTTGTTCACGGCCGGTGGTGCCCAGAGACTTCAAGAGCCGCTGGGTAGATGCTCCGATGTAGGCTCTGCAGCCAATTTCTACTGGGAAGGCAAGAGCACTCCACCCGGCTTGGGAGCACGCAGCAGCCAGCTCCATGTACCTCTCCTTTTTCCGCTCAAAGGCAGCCTCCAGCCCCTCCTCCCATGGGACGGTCAATTCGACCATGATGACTGTTTTTGAAAGGGTGAACCAGAAGACAATGTCAGGCCGTAAAGAGGTTATGGTGATCTCAACCGGGAACCTCAGCTGGCGGTCGAGATCAGCTGCCATGCTCCACTCTCCTCCCGGTGACAAGAGAGACCGCTCCTTCAGCCTGCCGCTTTGGCTCTCTTCCCCTTGTCTGACAAAGTGGATCTGCTGCTGAGATGTTACTGAATGGGCCCTGTTTGCATCCAGTCTGCGCGTCTCCAGGACTTCCGCAAGCTTGAGTAAGAGCATCCTAAATAAAATTAAATCTCGTAAGTGAATGATTTAAAACACTCTCCACAGCAACACAATGTTGCTAAGCTAACAACACAATACTGTAATGAGCACTTTATACATATACATTTGATAAATTTCTGTTGAATTTATCTTTGTCTTCAGTACAAAACAAAGTATAATTGGGCTTAAAGGCGTGCTCCACTCTCCTCCCGGTGACATGAGAGACCGCTCCTTCAGCCTGCCGCTTTGGCTCTCTTCCCCTTGTCTGACAAAGTGGATCTGCTGCTGAGATCTTACTGAATGGGCCCTGTTTGCATCCAGTCTGCGCGTCTCCAGGACTTCCGCAAGCTTGAGTAAGAGCATCCTAAATAAAATTAAATCTCGTAAGTGAATGATTTAAAACACTCTCCACAGCAACACAATGTTGCTAAGCTAACAACACAATACTGTAATGAGCACTTTATACATATACATTTGATAAATTTCTGTTGAATTTATCTTTGTCTTCAGTACAAAACAAAGTATAATTGGGCTTAAAGGGTTAGTTCACTCAAAAATGAAAATTACCCTATGATTTACAAGCCATACTAGGTATATATGACTTTCTTCTTTCAAACAAATACAATCAAAGGGTAACACTTTACGGTAAGGGTACATGAATTACCATGAATTCATGCATAAATGAATGTGTGAATTATGCATTACTTCATGCATTAATATCTTATGAATTATCAGGAACTAACATGAGTTCAAAGTCTTTCATTCATGACTTCATGGATGAACAACACCTTAATTAAGACATTAAGTAAGGTGAGTACATCTTCATGATTTATGATTTATTACGCATGATCATGATGTTTTCTTTGTTCACAAAAAACAAGGTCTTTACTATCCATTGTGGATAAAGCTATGCTTATGGTACATGATTAAAAAAAACATTATTTCGTGCATGTAAGACTAGTTGAATTATTAAAGGAATATACAAAAATCCATATTACCTCATGCATGCATACAGGCTAGAACATTTTATCAATTAATGTGAGAACTAAAGTTTTTCATTATATATGATAATAGTTATCATTCATGTTCATATCTTCTTCATAGTAGTCTGCAGGTAAATGGACAGACCCCAACATTGGCCAATCACAGCACATAGTATGTGAATTCTGTTAACATCCAAATACAGTAGTCATCATTAACTAAGCATTAGCTTCTCATGATTTCATCATGTGTGTGGCCCCTCAACTAAAGTGGTGAACAGACCCCAACATTGGCCAATCATAGCACATATCACGTGAATTCTGTTAACATCCAAATGCAGTAGTCATCATTGACTAAGCATTAGCTTCTCATGAATTCATCATGTTTGTGGCCCCTCAACTAAAGTGGTGACCAGACCCCAACATTGGCCAATCACAGCACATATCACATGAATTCTGTTAACATCCAAATACAGTAGCCATCATTAACTAAGCATTAGCTTCTCATGAATTCATCATGTTTGTGGCCCCTCAACTAAAGTGGTGACCAGAGCCAATTCCCGCCGCTATCAGCGAGCCAGCGCAAAGCCGAGTGACTAAGCAAAGGATCGCCCCGGACGTAGAGCTCAACTCGTCAGACCAGGTGCAGAGCCGGCGACAATGCCCGCCACGAGGGAGAAAGCCATGGATGGTGTGAGCGCAGAGAGGAGCTACGCCCCCTGCACCGCGGCTGAGGGTGAGCTAAATATGGCGCGGTGAAAGTATCAAAGCGAAGAGGAGAGGGCTCCAGTCCCCGAATCTAGTCCAGAGCGCCTCCAGTGCCCGCTCCTAGAAAGCGCGTTCCAGAACTAGCTCCTCGTAAGCACCCTCAAGTGTCCGCTCCTCCTGAGCACCATCCTGTTACCGTGTTCAGCCTGGAGGGGGCTTCTGATCCAGAGTTAAGCCCTGAATGCCCGGAGACTCACAAATGCCCGCTCTCCACCCGCTCCTGCCTCCTCAACCGCTGTCGTCTGGCATCCCCTCTGCTCACCCTCAGCCCACCATCATTACGGTGCGAGCGCCGCGGGTCTGCCATCCTCCAGCGTCGTCTTGGCTGGATAATTCCTAACCTCCACCTCCAGCCTCTGAGGCCCGGACTCCGCCTCGGCCCGTAGACCCAGTGGCTCCACCTCGGCTCCTAGCTCCCTCGCCTCCACCGTCACCTGTCGATCCACCAGCTCCACCGGGCTCCCTCGTCCCTCCGGCTCCGCCTTGGTCGGGCGTCGACCCGCCATCGCCTCAGGACTCCGCTCCTCCGGCTGCACCTTGTCGCTCGGTCCCACCGGCTCCATTGGGCTCCTTCCTCCCGCAAGCTCCACCTTGGTCCTCAGTCGCTCCGGCTCCGCCACGGATCTCCGCCTCGGATCCACGGCATCCCCCTGGCTCGTTGGCTCTCCGTCT